TCACATGCCACTTTCCAGTAAAACATGTTCTAATTGGATGCCAAATCCCATAGAAAGGATCATGTTTTAGATTTTGGTCAGTGCCCTCTTCTTGCATAAGATCTGGTCAGAACTCTTAAGTAACAAACTGTTTACATTATCAAATATGATAAATCATAATATGTGCATATCATGCATTTTCCATGTCATTCTTTTTAAATAATTTGTTTTTTATCGCATCTAAAAGCATTTTAGAGAATAGGTTGTCACAACCAGCAATCATATAAGGAGTTTCCTGATTGGCTGGAGGTTGTGGCTGGAAAACCAATCAAGGATAGTCTAGTATGTCACATGTCTCTTAATATCTAGGTGAAGCAGTAGACAAATCTGTCAAAGCAAAGACTTTACCGTCACGAGGCAGTGGAACCATGACACCGCTGGATAATGTAACACCAGGCACAGGTAAAACTCCTCAATCTGATGCAGCCAGTAAAAAAACATCTATATTTGGTCGACCAAGAAGTTTTAGTAGAAAGAATAAAGAGGTAAGAACATCAGTCATTTGTACATGTACAACATAGTCACAAAATATAGACTCCTTATACTGATACACATAAACTGGTGACATCATATCCCAACGAAAAATTATGACATCTTATTTTATGGAAGAGTTACCTTTCCAGGAATTGATGGTGTTAGAACATATTTGAGAAGAGTTAACAACACGTGCACATAAACTGATGACATCACATTGTGAAGATTTAACTTCACATGTGTATAAACTATCTCTCTATATATTGTGGAGATTACCATGACATACCCATAAACTGATGACATACATTGTGAAGAGTTGAGACCACATGCACATAAACTGATGACATCACACTATTATGAAAAATTAAGATCACATGTGGATAAATCAAAGAGATATGATATTGTGAAGAATTTAATACTACATACACATAAACTGATGACATACATTGTGAAGAGCTGAGACCACATGCACATAAACTGATGACATCACACTATTATGAAAAATTAAGATCACATGTGGATAAATCAAAGACATACGATATTGTGAAGAATTTAATACTACATACACATAAACTGATGACATACATTGTGAAGAGCTGAGACCACATGCACATAAACTGATGACATCACACTATTATGAAAAATTAAGATCACATGTGGATAAATTCACTACGTTCAATTACCTACCATAGACTCCGGTCAGTCAAAATGACTATTTTGAACTGTGGGCATTAATCAGCGATTCTGCCGGTGACGGAGAGATAGAATCTAGGTCAGGGGAAGCCCCATGACCTCAAGATTCTTTTACCCCTTACGTCACGAACCCACTCCTTTCTTACCGACCCACGGGTGTCCCCAGAGGGAACCGACCCTGTCATGAGACGCACAGTCGAACACGCTCCCTCTCACATATTTTAAGTTAAAGGAGACGCAGTTCGCTCGCGTTGGATACAGCTGGTACTCCGGGCGGTCCCTCAGAGTCTTCCATCTGTATGACTCGGTGAGCCACGCTTTTGGGGTGAGGCGGAGTATCATCTATCCCAGTGATACGATGTATATACCCCCACCCTTGATCCTAAAGCGACCACCTAAGGTTGCTTCACTGCTTATGGGATCACGGGCGTCGGGATCCAAAGCTACCCCGTCGGCACATCTCTCCCCTGTCCGTCTGAGTGCGGAGTGGGACGCAGAGCATGCAAACGGTGTTGATGGGCGGCGTTGGTCAGCCGCGGAGGATGTAATGCTTAAGGCCCCCAGGTGGGGATAACGTTAGGCAACACTTCCCACTGGACCAAATGCTACCCGGTCGGTGTGTTTCAGACCCCATAGCGTGGGATAAGACCAAAATGCCCCCAACCTGATTCCATGGCTCCTTCCCCATACCCCGGTACCACGAATTT